CTGTCCCGACGCCGGGTGGCTTACGGTAGGCGGCGTCGGCGCGTGCAACAATTTTTGAAACCGCGTCGATCGTTCAACCTTGGACCGATCGCGGCCCCGATCGTTCAAGGTTGAAGTCCCTTGGGTCCAACGGCGTTACCGTGCCCCTCGGTGCTTCCGCGTCGCAGAATTCTACCTTGAACGCCTTCGCCGCCGGCACTGGCGCGCCAACGCCGCATGAACCTACCGTACACAGCCGCGTGCCCATTCAGGACGCGCCCGACATCAGATTGCGCATGGACGATTCGAAGGGTTTGTTTGCAATCCTTCGTTGAAGGGTTTTTTGCAATCCTTCGTTTTTTTGCAATCCTTCGTCGAAGGGTTTTTTGCAATCCTTCGGTTTTTTTGCAATCCTTCGTTTTTTTGCAATCCTTCTGCCGTGCTGGGCAGGGTGCTCCCCAGGGCGACGCCCGCGGAGACGGCGCGGGCGACGGCGATGGAGGCAGTGGGCGGTGACGGCGTGACGAGGAGCGGCTGCTCTGTGGCTGGCGGGGCACCTGCGGGACTCCATCTGCTGCGATGAGAGAGACATGGGATTCCAAAAAAAACCAGGATTGCAAAAAAAAGGATTGCAAAAAACCCAGGATTGCAAAAAAACCCAGGATTGCAAAAAAAACCCAGGATTGCAATCCTTCCACCAACGACAATCGAAACCATTTCTTTGTGGCCATTCCGATCCTGGACAACGGCTCGGGACGAGTAGTTTGCCAAAGCCAGGACGCAGGGCAGACGGCTCCACCGGTTTTGATTGGGGGCGGCCGGGGGGGCTGCACGAGACTTTAAGCAGGGGCCGACCGCCCCGGCACTGCTGTAGTCCTACAACGCAATGTTCTTAGAACCAAGCAGTGTTCTAGGAACAACAACAATGCTCTTAGAACATAAACCCACTGTGATAAAACAAGACAGCCCCAACCAGAAATGTTCTAAGAACATTTCGTGGGAACCACAATCGGTTCTTAGAACATTGTTTGGTAGGGCTATAGGCGAGCCAGGACGCTTCACCACTGCTTGAAGATGCGTCACCCCATGAGCCCATCCACTGGAGGCCTGGTGGTTCTCGGGTCATAATTAACTCGGACCTCCGGCAGCCGTTCGGGACGATCCGGGCACTCCCGGAACGCTCTCGGCGAGGCGCAGCTGCTGGAAGGCACCCCGAGGCTGAACAGCCGCTGAGGAACGCCGACAACATCCGAAAGCCTCGAACTTCTTCGGATCCCTTCTGAGCCCACGGCAAGTAGTTCATGCCGTGACGCCCCCGGCGTTGGCTTCTGACACCGCGCGGATCGTTCGATCTTGAACGACTGGCGGCTTTGCAATTGCCAGATCCTTCCGTACAGTCGGGGCCCTGAAGAAGGAACCCTTTGCGTTGGGGAGGGGCTCCGCGTTCCTTAAGTGTTTCGCAGCTTGCCTCAGGTTTTCCTTAGGTCTTCGATGGGAAATCGAAGGTTAACTGATGGAAGAGAGGGGCCTCGTTCCTTATTTAGGGTTCCTTAGGTCAACGCCCCGACTGTATGTGCCGATGCCCTGGCCACCGGCGGCGCTCCACCCTGCACGCCCCCGCCGGCATTGCCGCCGAGCCGACGCGACATGGACCTGCCACGTCCCCGCCTGACGGTGTCACGGGTGGAAGAAGCTCAGACTCGATGCGCATCCCTGAGGGCATTGGCTAAGGAGCCAGTGGATAAGGAACCCAGGGTCTGGGAGCTGCTGGAGCATCAGGCCAGGCATCCCCCAAGGTCCGAAGCCTCCTGGGGGCACATTCCTTAACCAACGCCCCTACCGTATTGGCCGATTCTGGGCCACCGGCGGCGTTAAACTTTGACCGCCCGTACCGGGGTCGCCGCCGAGTCGACACGACACGGACCTGCCGTATCCTCCCCCTGACGGTGGCACACCAGTCAGGAACGTTTGCTTAGCGTGTCGCGGCGGCGGCCCTGGCGACACGCCAAGCCTTGACAATTGATGGCGTGTCGTGCTGTTTTGCGGGGCGGGAGGCTCGGATAGGCTTAGGACCTCGACGCTCGGGGACCAGGAAGTGGATGGCATGTCGCGCCGAAGCGCGGTGGTCCAGAACTGGCGGCGCGACACGCTACGCCATAGCTCCAGACCGTACGACGACACCGATGCCAAGGACGACGACGCCGACGCCGCCGCCGCCGACGCCGACGCCGACGCCGACGACGACGCCGACGCCGCCGACGACGAGGACGACGCACGACGACGACGACGACGACGCCGACGCCGACGACGACGACGACGACGACGCCGACGACGACGCCGACGACGACGACCCGCGCGCCGCGCATGTCCGCGCGCGGCTCACGAGCGGCTCTCCCGCCTCCACGCGTGCTCCACGATCGCCCTCACCGGGAGCTTGCTGAAGACGTGGAGGTGGCTGGTTGTGGCGAGGGCGTGGAGGACCTCGCGGCGGCGACCAGGAGGCGCGGGCGAGGGCCAGGAGGCGCGGGCGAGGGCCAGGAGAGAAGGAAGGCGGTGAGGAGAAGAGGAGGGCAGCGAGGAGGCCGAGGCGGCAGGGGCGAGAGGGAGCGCGCAGGAGGCGGGAGGGCGAGGAGGCGCGGCGAGGGGCGGGGAGCGCGCAGAGGTGGGAAGGCGAGGCGGAGCAGCGCGAGGCGGGGAGAGCGAGGCGAGGGCGTGCGATGGCCTCGCGGCGGCGCGGGCGAGGCCGGCGGCCGCAGGGGCCGAGCGGCCTTCCTGCATCGGCGCCATGCCCGCCTGGCGGCGCCTGGCGGCGCCGCCTCCGGCGCGCCCCGCCCGCCAGGGAGGCGCGGGGGGGGCCCAGCGCCGATCCGAGAACTCCGCGCGGAACTCCGGAAGCCTACTCGGAGGTGACGATCGGGGCGAACAGCGCAAGGGCGGGCGTTGCACGCAGTCGTCCGGGACTCTCGCTGAAGGCATGGACCATCGGCGCCCCCGCCTACATGTATTGCTCCCCCCCGGGCTATTCTCCCCCCTCGTCGCCTCCGATCTGTGGTTATGCCGCCTGTATGATGTTGCTCCCGTCGTACTCCAGGACCGCACCCCAGAAAGACATTTCGAGCGCCCAGACAAATATCGAAACAGTGTCGATCGGGTATCGTCTCCCAGGACCCCACACGTGAACGCCATCAAGTTCCGGTACTTTCTTGGTGCCCAAAATTCGTTCTGGTGACCGAGATAACGCTTGTACTTCTTCGAAGAAGGGGCCTGTGCAGCGGCAGGGCGGGCGTTGGCGAGCAGGGCGAGTACAATGAGAAGGAGGTCAGCGAGGCCTGGCGATGACGAAGAGAGCTCAGCCGATTATGGAGGAGGGGGGCTCGGCAACATCGGCTGTCCCTCAGACGACGATGGCTTGGAGGTGACCATAGACCACGAAGAGGAAAGAGGAGGAGAGGAGGCTCACGATGGGCCCTCCTCGTCCTCCTCGAGCGGCCTGGCTACACCAGAAGCCCAACTCGGCGTCCCTCTCCTCCTCGCTGCCTCCCCTCAGATCCGGCGTTGCGAAACCTATCCTGGTGAAGGATCCAACCATATGCAGTTGTGCGTGCCGTCGCTTGTGAGTATCGACTTCGGTGGATCTCCTCATGGGGCCACGCGCGCGTGTGAAAGGTGTGCCGAGATGGGGCGGGGCCGCCATGCGGGTGAGGGAAGTGTCGAAATGAGGCGGCGGTGCCATGCGAACCCTCCCACTGGGCCTTAGATGAAACTCCCTATGGGGCCACGAAACGTGTGAGGGGTGTGCCGAAATGGGTCGGCGGTGTCATGCAAACCCTCCCACTGGGGCCTTAGGTGGAGCTCCCTATGTGGCTGCGAAGCGATGGAGGGGTGTGCCGAAATGGGGCGGCGATGCCATGCAAACCCTCCCGCTAGGGCCTCAGGTGGAGCTCCCTATGGGGCCACGAAGCGTGTGAGAGAGGTGTGCTGAAATGGGGCGGCGGCGCCATGCGAACCCTCTCTCTGGGGCTTCAGGTGGAGCTCCCTATGGGGCCACGAAGCGTGTGAGAGATGTGCTGTCATAGGGCGGCAGTGTCATGCGAACGCTTCCTCCGGGGCCTTAGGTGGAGCTCCCTATGGGGCCACGCAACATGTGAGGGGTGTGCCGACATGGGGCGGCGGTGCCATGCGAACCCTCCCTCTGGGGCCTTAGGTGTGGCTCTCTATGGGGATGTGAAACGTGTGAGGGGTGTGCCGGAATGGGGCGGTTCCATGCGAACCCTCCCACTGAGGCCTCAGGTGGAATTCCCTATGGGGCCACTCCAAGGGCACGGTGCCGAAGCTTCCCGCGTGGCCCCGCGGGCCGCCACACGGAAGAGCAGGGCGTGCCAGGAACTCCGCCGTTGTTAGGGGAACAAAAAGTGGCACAAACATAAAAGCACGGAGGTCCGCGCGGTTTTCTCGGATCGGCGCTGGGGCCCCCAGGCGGCGCCTCCGGCGCCGCCCCTGGCGCACTCCGCGCGCCAGGGAGGGGGGTCCAGCGCGGATCCGAGAAATCCGCGCGGACCTCCGAGTTGTTATGCTCATGCCACTTCTTGTTCCCCTCGTTGTGCTTTTCTGTCACGGCGGGGGCTCCTGGAGGTCTGGGCCCCTGCGCCGGGACCAGCACTTCTCGTCCCGTGCCGCTGTCTGCCGGTCCTGGGGCCCGGCGGAAGGCCCCCAGAGGCCGAACACTATACTCCCAAACTCCCGCTTTTTCTGTTTATGCTTGTTGTTTTGTTATTTCCCCACATCCTAAGTGGGGTTCTTGTTTTCTCTGCACACCCTCCGCGCAGGATCTCTCCTCCTCCTCCTCCTCCCTCTCCTCTGCTCCTCTTTGCTTCCTCCTCCGCATCATCATCACCATCACCATCACTCCCCACTCATCATCATCATCATCATCATCATCATCATCACCGTCAGCATCACCATCGCACGATCACTCACCATCATCGGCATCGAACGATCATCATCATCATCATCATCATCATCATCATCATCATCATCATCATCATCATCATCATCATCATCATCATCATCATCACTACTCGCTGACTTGAGGCCTGAATATGGAGGCAGTCTCGAGCGGGCGCCTCGTCTGTGAGTGAATTGCGAGGAAGTCTCAAGCGGGAGCCCCCTCCCTATGGGGCCCGCACTTCATGTTCGAATCCGAGCGGGTCATCCGCAACGTGCAACTGTCATCACTTTTGGGCTCTTGAAACCTGAATATGGAGGAAGTCTCGAGCGGGAGCCTCGTCTGTGAGTGAATTGCGAGGAAGTCTCAGGCGGGAGCCCCCTCCCTATGGGGCCCGCACTTCATGTTCGAATCCGAGCGGGTCATCCGCAACGTGTAACTGTCGTCACTTTTGCGCTCTTGAGGCCTGAATATGGAGGAAGTATCAGCGGGAGCCTCGTCTGTGAGTGAATTGTGAGGAAGTCTCAGGCGGGAGCCCCCTCCCTATGGGGCCCGCGCTTCATGTTCGAATCCGAGCGGGTCATCCGAAACGTGCAACTGTCGTCACTTTTGGGCTCTTGAAAACTGAGTATGGAGGCAGTCTCGAGCGGGAGCCTCGTCTGTGAGTGAATTGCGAGGAAGTCTCAAGCGGGAGCCCCCTCCCTATGGGGCCCGCACTTCATGTTCGAATCCGAGCGGGTCATCCGCAACGTGCAACTGTCGTCACTTTTGGGCTCTTGAGACCTGAATATGGAGGAAGTCTCGCGCGGGCGCCTCGTCTGTGAGTGAATTGCGAGGAAGTCTCAGCGGGAAGCCCCCTCCCTATGGGGCCCGCGCTTCATGTTTGAATCCGACCGGGTCATCCGCAACGTGTATCTGTCGTCACTTTTGGGCTCTTGAAAAATGAATATGGAGGAAGTATCAGGCGGGAGCCTCGTCTGTGAGTGAATTGTGAGGAAGTCTCAGGCGGGAGCCCCCTCCCTATGGGGCCCGCACTTCATGTTCGAATCCGAGCGGGTCATCCGCAACGTGCAACTGTCGTCACTTTTGGGCTCTATGAATATGGAGGCAGTCTCGAGCGGGAGCCTCGTCTGTGAGTGAATTGCGAGGAAGTCTCAAGCGGGAGGCCCCTCCCTATGGGGCCCGCACTTCATGTTCGAATCCGAGCGGGTCATCCGCAACGTGTAACTGTCGTCACTTTTGGGCTCTTGAGACCTGAATATGGAGGAAGTATCAGGCGGGAGCCTCGTCTGTGAGTGAATTGTGAGGAAGTCTCAGGCGGGAGCCCCCTCCCTATGGGGCCCGCACTTCGTGTCCGAATCCGAGCGGGTCATCCGCAACGTGCAACTGTCGTCAGTTTTGGGCTCTTGAGACCTGAATATGGAGGAAGTCTCGAGAAGGAGCCTCGTCTGTGAGTGAATTGTGAGGAAGTCTCAGGCGGGAGCCCCCTCCCTATGGGGCCCGCACTTCATGTTCGAATCCGAGCGGGTCATCCGCAACGTGCAACTGTCGTCACTTTTGGGCTCTTGAGACCTGAATATGGAGGAAGTCTCGAGCGGGAGCCTACGGCCCAGCCCGAAGGTTTGTCCCGACGGCTTCGCGATCTAGCCGTCGGCAGACGCGCGCGCGCTGGCCGAGGCGGCGACGGCGCTGAGGAAAATTGATTTGCTTGCCCCGACGAGGGGGAAGGGGAGGTGCACATGGAGAAAAGGCAGGGGGATGAGGAGGGAAGGGGCATGGGGGAGGCCGACGACGAGGAGGAGGTGGCGCGAGAGGAGGAGGATGAGGAGGTGGAGGAGGAGGAGGAGGATGAGGAGGAGGAGGAGGAGAAAGAGGAGGAGGAAGAGAAATAGAAGAGGGAAGAGAGGGCAGTGCAGGGGGCGAGAGGAAGAGGGTGTCCGCCAGGGGGACGAGGAAAGGGCAAAGGGTAAACTAAACAGATTCTCATGTGGGGTCCTACCGTCGGAGTAATTTTTTAGTTGTTTTGCTTCACGGCCTGTTGCTCCACGACGAGAGGAAAATGGTGTGGGGATCGGGAAGCGCTGGCGGGGAAGGCACGGGGCCGGGTGCGGGGAGGAGAGGGGCGGGGAGTGCTCAGGAGCGGAGGCTGGCAGCGGGGAACGGGGGGCACGAAAGGGGGAGGGGACAGCAAAGGGCAGGGCAGAGAATCGGCTTACGCAGCTGCCTTTCCCAGCGCCTTCAGGCGCCGGGAGGCACCCATGTATTGAGGGGCATGGGCCCGGCGGCGGGGCCGAAACCAGCTGCATGCAACAGATTTCGTAATCCCCTCTTTCCCTATCCTTAGGTCCGGGGACGAAAAATATAAAATACCCCAGAGAATACTCCCAAATAGTCAGAAATAGTCAAAAACTCATCCCCAGACTATTTGTTGACTATTTTTTCATATTACTCCTGTAGAGGGACACGCCCGACTTAACCCTGTCCCCCCCCTGTCGTTCGGCCCGAGGGGAGCGCGGGAGGTGAGAGGTGGGGCGTCTCCGCGCGACCTGGTAGCTCATGATGCCCGGGAGCCGGACCACCTGGCGGGGCTCCATTCGTCGGGCGTGTGGGGGCTACTGCCTCCTCCTCCTCCTCCTCCGCCTCCTCCTCCTCCTCCTCCTCCGCCTCCTCCTCCTCCGCCGCCTCCTCCTCCTCCTCCTCCTCGCGGATCGGGGAAGATAGCCCAGAACCATGGGGCCAGTGCCACCTGATCTGGCGATGGAGCGCGCCGATTCTTGTACGGAATCGAGACCGGTCGCCAATCCAGGCGCCATGACATCCGTGCTGTGCTTGTGCTTCCTCGAGCTTGCTGCCTCCCGGGTCACTCGGCATCCCCCTCGCATCCCCCCGGAGGGCTTCGGCTCGTCGGGGGATCCGTGGTCAGGGGATGGGTGCGGGTCGAGGTGGGCCTCAGCGAGCGAGGTGGAGGGTCGCAGGGGGTTGGGGTGTGAAGCGGGGGAGGCTGGAAGGCGAAGGGAACTGCACATCTGCGGGGAGCTTTGACTCCACTGCCCCTGCTGCTGCTCCTCCTCCTCCTCCTCCTCCTCCTGCTCCTCGTCCTCCTCCTCCTCCTCCTCCTCCTTCTCCTCCTCCTCCCGGGCACCCGGCCGGGGCTCCGGCGCGCCGCTCTCTGGCCGCCTGCGGGCCGCCAGCCGCCAGCAGCCTGCCGCGAGCCTGCGCGTGCCTCTGCCGAGCCAGCATGCCGCTGGCGAAGGCGCCGTCTCGACGCGTCGGGGCAGGGTGAAGTGGGCTTGGCCTGGGTGGCTCAGGGCCTCGGGCCCCGACCGGGCGTCCTTTCGGGCATCTCCCTCGCTGCATGTGGGAAGGCTTCGGCTGCCCGCCCCTGGCATCAGGACAGTTCGGGGTGCCAGAAGCGATGAGATGTGGAAGAGAACTCGGCTCCCTGAACAGCTTTACCCACTGGCCTCCCTCGCAACGCTGTGATCGCTGTCGCTGGCACACTCAGACGCGCGCTGCGGCCAACCGTTGGCCGGGTGGTGTGTGGGTGGGGGCACAGCGGGGCAAACGCACGCGCTGGAAGAAAGACGTGGCGGAAGCAGGGCGCCCGCGACCGCGCCAGGCGAGACTGGCGGTATCGGACCGGAGTGCGCCGGGTTGCGCCAGGAGTTGCCCATCCCGAACTAGCTGGACCAAGCTGGGCCGAGGTCCTCTGTCCTAGACTGAACCTTCCTCAGGTGGGCTGAGCTTGGCTGCGCTGGACTCAGCTGACCTGACCTGAGCTGGACAGGCGGAGTGAGGAACAGCTGATCGAATTAGCTTTGCCCCCCCGATTGAAGAGGCTGTTCCTGATTCCTCGTCGTACATCCTCTTCATGCTTCTTTCTCCTTGTGCTCCCCCTCTCCGTATCTACCAACATCTCTCCCTTGCGCCCTTCGCCTCCTCCCCAACTCCATCATTCCTCCCTCCTTATTCCTCGTTTCTCCTTGTCTTCTTCATCCTCCACTGTCTGTCTGCCTGCCTGTCTGTCTGTCTGTCTGTCGGTCTGCCTGCCTGCCTGCCTGCCTGCCTGTCTGCCTGTCCGCCCGCCTGTCTGTCTGTCTGCCTGTCTGCCTGTCTATCTGTATGTGGGCCTCTCTCTCTCTCTCTCGCTTCATCTCTCTTCTCTCTCTTTCTCCCCAATCCTCTTCCCGATCCCCGTATCTTCCGACATCTGATTCCCCTGATTCCTGGCAGAAACCACTTCCCTGGATTGGCCTTGACACGGACTGGCACCATCTTGGGCTGCCCCCTGAGGTTGTCTGCCAGCATGGTCAGGCTGCGAAGCAACGAGACGTTGGACGAGGACCTCCGAACACACATGTGTCTCCAGCCTCCTTCTCCTCCTACATCCTTCTGCCTCTCTTTCTGCCTCTCCTTCTGCTCCCCCTGTCACTATGCATTCCGAAATTCCCTTCCTTCTCCTGTCTCTTCTCCTCATCCCAGTCCTCCTCCTCCTCACTTAGATTCGCCTCAACCTGCTTCTCTGGCTCTGTCACTGCGCTTTCCACTTCGTCCTCCTTCTTATCAGCCCCGTCGTCGTCGCTGTCACCGTCGACGTCGCCGTCGCCGTCGCCATCGCCGTCGCCGTCGCCGTCGCCGCCGCCGCCGCCGTCGTCGTCGTCGCCGTCGTCGTCGTCGTCGTCGTCGTCGTCGTCGTCCTCCTCCTCCTCCTCCTCTTCCAATCGGCGGGGAGGCTCGTGGACGTGAGGCATCCGTCGCAGAATGTGCAGGGGTCTGATTGGTTGTGGCGGCCGCCGCCAATCGGCGGCGAGCCCGGGGGGAAGTGAGAAGGGACGGGCCTTCTCAGAAGGCTCGGAAATCCCCCGGCCTTCTGAGAAGTTTTCTAAGGCCTCCCCCCAAATCACAGGAAACCTCTCGGAAGGCGCGCGGGCTTCTGAGAAGTCCCGCCGCCTTCTGAGAGGGCCTTCTCCTTCTCACTTCCCCCCCTCCTCGCTCGCCACCGAAGAAGATCATAGCCCAGACGCCACGGTCAATGCCGGGCTCCCTCTTCGGGGCAGGGGTTAACCAAAACCACCG